GATAGGGCCTTAGAAAGTACGGCCCCAGTTGAAATGCCTCGTCTCAAATGACGTACGATGCGAAAACATGGGAAGATAGCAGCTGATTTGGTGGTGGCAAATTCAAGGCACCTTGACTGAGGCATTGTCCTATCCTTGATGCCTTAAAGACGCCACCATCACTTTGGTGGCCACAAACCTCAACTTGCTATTCACGATAGTCATCAGCACTATAGAGTAGGTACCATGAAAAGACGGATGTGACGTCACTTCATGCGTTCTTGCAAAACAAGATATATGTTGAAGTCAATTTGTAGGCCCATATACAGCACCTTGTCGTTATAATACAGGGTTCCAGAATCGGCAGGGGTCTCCATCTGTACGTGTTTTCCGACACCGACAGCCACACAATAAAGAAAGATTCCACTCTGTCTCGAAGTCCTCGGCAATTTCCTCGCAGTCTGCGGGAGCTAGAAGTACAGCACAAAGTTCACAAATGGTTTTAAGTCGTTATTTAAAGGCAGTTCATGTAATCTTACTTTATATATAGTAATACTGGCAATGAATGCATCCTCAAATGTGAGAAATACTTGTTGAAGCTTAACAATTGCGAAAGCTGTTGCAACTGAATCTGAAAAGCAGTGTGTCTGTGTTTACTGTATACGTTCAGCTGGAAGCTTTCAGATGCATGTTCAACCGACCAGCTCAGCTCCGGACACTCACAACTTACTTTTGTAAGCTAGCGTATAATGCCCAATTTAGGCCGGTGTCAGACTGCTTATACAAAAGACAAGAAACACTCTGCAGGCATCGATCGAACGCGACTCACCGTCGTATCCGTGTTTCGTAAGCCGCGTGCCAAGCCACTCTTTGAATTGGTCGCCGTGCGACATACATAGCACAGATGTTCAGGGGGGCAATGTTGCACGTTTTGGACCCCCAGGAGACCAGGGAGAAGGAAGTGAAGTCAACAACGCTCTTTGGATGTTGATTGGTGGAGTCGTTGATGACGCGTTGCGTGGTGCTGCTAAAGGGGTATTCACATGAGGGAGAAATCCCGGGGATTTCTCCCCGGCACGCGCGCATCACGAGATGAAAACGCGAGGTTTTTGCACATCGCAAAGCCCAACGTTTTCGTCGTGGGATGCGCGTGCCGGGGAGAAACCCCCGGGATTTCTCCCTCGTGTGAATGCCCCTTAAGATACGTTCATTCATAGCTACGTCACTTCCCTCTCCCTAGTCTCCTGGGAGTCCAAAATGTGCAACATAGCGCCCCTGGTGCCTGGAATGAATGTTTGTCTGCAAACTGTATTCGTAGTGCGCGCAATGTATGACCCCGACTGTAGAAGGTGGCGCAGTATCTGCCTTGAGGCCCCAAACATCCCCAGGTCTGCAGCTCTCCCTTCCCAAGTTCGTCCCTATGATCATAGATCAGTGGCTCTGTTTTGTGTTAAATTTCTAAGAAACCATTCGTGACAGTACAGCTTTAGCATGATTCATTCCCCGGGATGCACTGCGTGTGTTCTGCATTCAAAGCAATGTTCTATTATGCTTTCAGCATCCTTGGATCGTGAGCTATTAGCGGCTCGATATTTCGGTTGCGGATATAGACCTGCGGGACCGCAGAATTTGCCTCAATATTTGCGATCCTGCCTAGTCAGGACCAGTTGCGAAGGACGAGTTTGGTGCAGTGATTCGTACACTACCTCCCCCGCTAATCATCTCCAAGTTCGGTGTGACGCCCTTCCCCCCCCCCCCCCCCCCCCCCCCAAAGTATTTTTTGAGCAATGTATATAAACCTTCCAACACCCTCCTAATTATCTCCAGGTTAGGCGCGACACCCTCCAGAATTTCTTGAGCAATGCATATAGACCTAAAACCACCCCCGTCTCAAAAAGGCGAAATGAGAGATTTAAAAAAAAAAATGAAAAAAATCAACGCGGACGCAGAAAAAGATTATTAAATATCACGCAGAGTGGACGTATTGTGAAACCTGTCGACAGACTAGGTCTAGAAAGAGAGGATGTTCTAGCAGCTCTTAGACCGTAAGGGCTGCAACCATAGCTCTAGAAGACGAAGGAAGAATAAAAAGAATGACTTGTTGATGCCGTTGTACTGGCGGGTCCTGTTTCCTCGTCCTCTCGCCGGGACACTAAATACAAATACTCGTAAAATATTTGCTAAATACCTGACACAACAGAGGAAAGAGAGGATTAGCGACTCGACTCGTGTCAAAGATCGTGAAAGATCCCGTCGGCGACCTTTACAGACGTGCACACCCTCGCCTGCCGCACAGAGAGGATGCGCGGCACCATTTACAAACAAGACCCCTGGGGGACCGTATGATGTCACGAGTGGTGGCCAAAAGAACCAAAAAATAAGCAGGAAAGAGAAACGTTTAATGAAATCAACTTGTGCCCAAAACAAAGGCTTAAAGGAACAGGTGTCGTAAGCGAGCGACGATGTCGGCGAAGAGGCAGAATCCGGCGCTAGCGCCTGTTCACACATACAGCGGAGCGCTAAGTTAGCGCTACGTGAGCGCTCCAAAGAGCGCACGTGGCGTTTCCTAGCGTGTGACTTAGTTCTAATATAGCGCGCGATTAGCGCTTTTGTAGCGCCTTGTTAGCGCTTTATATAGTAACGTCTTGTTGGCGCTTCAGTAGCGCCTTGTTAGCGCTTGAGTAGCGCCTTGTTAGCGCTTGTTGTACGGTGGTTATTACTGCGGATTAGCGCGTGCACTGTAGTTCCGGTTCCTGTGGTTGGGTGTGCATCAACAATACTATGGCGTACGTGTGGGACGCTGAAATAGAAACGCGACAAAGGCTCTTACATACGCAATTAGTATATATGTGTGTGGACGACTTAAGCCCAGAGCAGCTTTCTGGGTGCGCGAAATCTTTCGCCACGGAGATACCGACGGGTATCCGGCGAACCTTCTTCCCAGGCTGAGAGACCGAGACGCAGCGCTTTTTCGAAGGTGATTATTTTTTAACTGCGTATCTTTGAAACCAGGGTCACGCATATGGAATAAAGAGCGATGACGTCGTACCCAATCAATTAGTCGCTCAGAGTCCATGACTCCATGGATCGTCTGCCCGACCCTTTGCTTGGAGAGCGGCTCTTTTACTTCCTCTGCTCTCAATGTCAAAGGAAAAACAACGACAACCGAATCGCCGTGCACGCGCTGTTCCGCAGCACCAAGCACGGCACAAGGAGCGTGAAGCTTAGTTCACATGCAGCGGTTTTCGCCCTAGAGCGGCGCGATTTCTGCCGTCGCGGCGCTTTGGCCAGCACCAGCAATTCTGCGGCACGAGCGCCGCGACGGCAGAAATCGCGCCGCTTTAGGGCCAAAATCGCTGCATGTGAAACCCGCTTGAGAGCGCTTACACTGCGGCTTGCCACGCGGAGCCCCTTTTGTACACGCGTGGGCTTCCGGAACAATCGGCGTAGAAGGTTCGGCGCGTAAAACATTATGGAGTCAACAAAAATGTGTACCTGCGGCCAGGCATCAAACCTTGGCTCTTTGCGTGGAAGGCAAGCGCGATAACCGTTAGGCGACGAGCGGCCTGCCTACTTGGTCAGCAGCGCGCGCGGCAATAAAAAAATACGGAGCTTGTATTGGGGGAGACAGGATTTTGCAGCTTCTGAATTGTATCTGTTGAGCTACGTCGTAGGGTGGACGCTGTACTCCTGCGGACGCTTCCCTTCGGCACCGTGGCGAAGGACGAAGATTAGACCATTGGGGTGTGCTGCTCGCGTCTTACTTTTCCTCTTATTTTTGTAGGGAGAGGGGGGGAGTCCGGGGGTCAGTGCCCCCTCCCTTCCTCCTCCCCTGGCTACGTGCTTGCATCAAGTGTTCCGTTGAGCCCAAGCACTGGCATACATGTGTGCTTCTCGAAGTGCATGTTTCGCTGTGTTGGAAGTTCATTTCCACAGGTCGTGAAAAGATGCACCTCATTTTAGAGTTAGCTTGGACGACGCCTGCCGCCAGTGTTTTCTTGTATAACAAAGCAAAACATCTACACAAACTAAGTAATGACCTCCAAAGAAATATTTGACCAGCATTCTGCGTTTATTGAAATACACCTAAAACCTAGACCCCGTCATGGTGGCCGCAATGCCTTGCCGGTCCGAGGAGCCCAAATGCATGGAGGAGGCCAAATGCACGCGGATTTTGTGAAAACGGCTTCCTCTAATTCTTTATTATTTCTTTGGTTGACAAATAATAGAAAAAAAAACGACATAAACATGACAACAAAACATATAAGATTATTTTTGAGGCAAGGTTCGATTTAACTTATCACAGTAAAACCGGTATGATCTAAATCACGATTTAAATCATCTTGATATATATTTCCCAGTTTTGAACTCTCTTGCTAGAAGTATCTTCGCGTGCATACTGCACCTGCTTGTGCGCAATCATGGGCCACATGCAGTAGGATGCCATGCAGCCCATGCTTCAGCGTCGAAAACTTTTGTCGTCTGACTTTTACCATAACCCAGAATGAGCATTTAAAAGTTCCGGATGCTTATTTCTCGTCACAAATGGAACTCTGGTGTGCACCCATCATTTCTGAATACACGTGCTGTTTTCAGCGAGCTGACGACAAGGTTCCGAGAAATGCTTTCCATGCCATCAGGAGTAGTGTGTCCTGTGTTCATTCCCTTTGTTCTGTCGCTCTGGGTGCTATTTTTATCATGTTTAAAGATAGTGGTCGTTATTGGCAAACTAAATAAAGAACAAGGCCAGTCTAAGATTTAAAAAAAAAAAAAGCTTATAAAAGGGGTTTCTAAGTACCTCCAACGTTTGGCCCAGAGATTTAGCTCATATTTCAAGTTCTTGGCAGAATATAATTGTGGGAAGTCACGCTGCGTGCGCGCGCTGTAAATGACGACCTCGAATATGCAGTCCGCAGTTCATAGTATTTATTGTCTCAGATGTGCGAATGTAGACGTACACCTTACGGTCATCAACTTTTGTCTTGCATGCAGGGGACGAATCCACTCGCGACGCACAAGGAATGACTCTCCGTGAGCGGCAAATTTCAACAGCCCTGTTTTGGTTCACCTCGTCCGTTCTTACGGCACTTGTTGGCACAATCGTACTAGTTGCCTTCATCATTCCTGCGAGCCAGAATGAACGGACCCTAAACTGCGAGACATCGGAATGCCTCGCCGCTTACAGGTACCTTCACGAGCAGCTGGACTCCAACGTCCACCCTTGCGATGACTTCTACGGACACGTCTGCCACAAGTGGAGCAAAATCCGCGAGGGTGTAGGTTTCCTCTCAGACTCACTCGATCGCTTCTTAGTCAAGATAAGTACCACCCTGCAGAACTCCAAGCCGCTGGAAGCAACTTCTTTGCACAACATTCTGCAAACGGGACGCCAGCTGCTGAACCAGTGCTTCGCATTCATGCAGAAAGGGGAGCAGAGTATTGAGCATGATGTTCAGTCTGCCATGGACCTGATGGACATAGCGGGAATCTTGGCCAGCACGTCGCCGCTGGAAGCGCTTAGGCGAGTGATGCGGATGTCTTTCGACTACAACATCAAAACGATCGTGGGACTTCGTCCACTTAAGCTGAGGGGTACCGTTTACCTCCAGCTGCTCAGCGGCGCACCCATTCGGAACGAACTCTGGCTGGAGGTGACGGATCGCGAGCTTGAGTCCTACTTCGCAAACGTGACCAACCTCTTGTGGCGAAAGATGGGCGACTCGTCGCTCGCCGCTACTCTGGTTCGCATGGACAGGGAGGTGTCCCTGCTTCTGGAAGGACCATCGCAAGACGTGTGGTTTGATGCTGAAGCTTTCGACGCGGAACCCGATTTTCCGCGCGAGCTTTGGAAGGATCCCTTGAAAGAACTTATTTCGAACCAGCGTGATGACGCGATAACAGGTGTAATTTTAGTCACTGATTACAACCAGACTAGAAGCCTGCTGACTTTTATTCAGACCTGCCCCACGAGATTCGCGTCTTCTTATCTGGTCATTCACGCCTTGGTCGAGGTGTTGAGGTTCGACTTTGCGAAGCGTTTTGAAGACACATCCCAGTCCAGATTGCGGCACATCTGTTTCGAAGCGGTCAATCGGGCACTCGCACCTGATTGGTTGGGAGTGGTCCGTACCCTCCTTTTCACCGACGCACACCTCGCCAAAGTCGCGGCAATGTTTGACGATATAAAGCGTACCTCCACTTCCAAAATCTGGAACGGCTGGATAAATAAATCGATGGGCGACATGGCCCGCACAAAACTTGACAGCGCCACCCTAACATCGCACGGAACGCTATTTAAGAATTCCACTCGCGTCATGTTTCGTCCAACATTCGAAGGGTCCCTAAACGGCACGTTCATCTTCAACTACATATCGCTTCTGAAATCTTCACGCCCTCAACGTCTGCAACACCCACTGGACACGTTGCAAGCAGGGCTCGCATCCCTTGAGGTACGAGGGCAAGCCCGGTACTCGAACAGGCACAGAACACTCTTTCTACCCTTGATGTTCCATTACGACCCCGTCTTCTATGGCGCCAACGTCGCTCCCTACTACAACTACGGAACTCTGGGCGCCATCTTCGCGAGGGGTCTGGCCGAGGTCATAGACCCTTTCTCTTCCTGGAACTATTCGACACCGAACTGGTGGACGGAAGAGGCGCTGCGTGAGTTCTCGTACCGGGTCTCGTGCTACCGGAACCTCCACGACAGCGCTCGGCCCCAGAAGCCCCATGACGTGGACAAGCTGACACCAGAGGTCCAGAGCAGTCTGTTCGCCTGGCTTCATGGTTCTCGGGTCGCCTACGCGAGCATGGAGCGTAACTTCAGCAGCTCGCCGACGCGGTTTGCCAAGAAGAGGCAGTGGAAAAAAGCGCAAAGAGTGTTCTTTCTCAGGTTCTGTCTCGCGTCCTGCGGACTGGAGCACAGCGAACCACTCGGTCCGAGGGAGATGTGCGTTTGGCCGCTCCTGAACATGCCCGAATTTGTGGAGGCTTTTGACTGTCCCGCAAATTCGTTCATGAAGGTGCGTCAAAAGTGCCACCTCTTATGAATGACGCCGCCGCCACGAGGTTTTAGAGGAAAATTGGAACATGTATGGTTGTAACTTGTCGGGAGTCCAGGTCACCTTAATTTAGCATGCGAATTCACTACCTTTGCATTTCCGACGATAGCACTGTTTTAACAGTGACACTAAACAAGATTTTAAGCGCAGTTGTCATAAAACCTCTAAAACACAACATTGTGTCAATAATTCTATTGCACACCCCACTCGGTATTTATAAGAAATCGTTGCTCATCTGAGAAAAAATAAATAAATAAAGGCACTGACCTGAAACAAAAAAACTCATCAGTCTGGGACGTTCTCCACAATTAAAGCTCACCGAACCATCTTTAGTATTGCAATGATATCACTCGTTGCACTCTCCCTCCTTGTCTAGCATGAGTTCCGAAGAATACCATTTCGACCCCACGGTGCCCATGGCACGTCAAAGCATTGCCCTTTCTGGTATATTCACACTCGGCAAGCAACTACAGCGCTAAGGTAAAAAAAAAGGTATGTTTGATTATGTCTCTTTGTGACAAAGCTTTTGTCATGCAGACAGAATAAGTCAGCATCTTTAAAGGTTTTAAAGGGTTGAGTGGCTTGAGCTTAAGTTACTCCTTTATCGCCCCTAAGGCGCGTGACACCAGTGTTCAACTGCGCTCAAAACTGAATCCAAGGTACTAAAATTATATTTTAATACCTTATTATACCTTTTGTGGAGTGATGCACTATATAGCTCGTAAGGTGAAAAAAATATATAAAAAAAACTAGAGTTTGTGCATTTTTTATTTTGTCTCGCTCGAGTCCTAGTAGTAGTACCTGTGCTTTCCTGACCAACATGGATGATTTTTAACGACCGAGCGCTGTATGCTAAGACTCCCACACCCTAATAATTGGGGTTGTGTGGATATTTATACAGCGAGTAGTTCGTTTTAGCCATTTCAAAGTTGCGACGATCGAGTCACTCGCTGTAGATGGGCAATTTAGCCAGTGCAGTACCACCGCTACCTGGGGTCTTCAACGTGCACCAGGCAGTAGTGCACGTGGTACACGACCGCACGCCGGTACGATGCTCAACTCCCACACCAATAAAAGCGATTTGTATGGGACACCGTACCCGGTTCGTTCTTAACACATGTCATATATGTCACAATCCTGGGATGGCATACCGCGGCTCGCAAGCCTCGCGTGGTTCTTGAGGGGTTCAAGTGCGGCTCGCGGCTCCCTATTGTTACTAAATCTACTTCGCCCACGAAACATAGAAAGACATAACAATAAAGTCAGTTCGCGGTTGGTCAGCTTTGTGCCATCATACACTTTTAAGCCTCCCTTAAAAGGGTTCTTCGCGAAAAACCTATAAGGGTTTTTTTTTAATCTCCTTTTTTGATGCGAAAGAGCTCTTCATCGCCCACTAGAATGGAAAGTTGGGCTAGTTGGTATGGATCCATATTGAAAAACAGCGCGAATAACACACGGACAAGGAGTAGAGATCTCTCCTCCTTGTCCGTGTGTTATTCGCGCTGTTTTTTTAATATGGCTTCATCGCCCCGCTGCGTTTCTAGTGCGCCAGGGGGCTATAGAATATATAGCAGGGGGGGGGGGGGGGGGGGGGGGGGGCGTGCCGTCGTTTCCTGTTCGTTCCCCTCCACTTTTACGGCGATCCGTGGTGGTGGCCATGATAAAGACGGAAACCTGTGTTGCTATAGCTTTTCAAGTTAGAGTTGACGGGGAAGTCTAGCCACATGCGCGTCTTTTTAACGGCGGCCGCTGCCTTCCGCTGCACCACAGTAAGCTAGAATTCTAGGTCTAGGCCTTTCCACGCCACAGCAGCAGCACTGTTAGTGTTTGTTTTTGATGTTTTGGTTTTCCTTAGAACGCGAGAGCGCCGGGCAACACTCGCAACATCGTAATGTAAATTTCACGCCGTTGGTTCATTTTATTTTTATTACCCTTGGGCAAAGGGTATACGGCCCTTTGCCCAAGCAAAGGGTCAAAGGGCAAAGGGCAAAGGGCGCAAAAATACAAATATTAAGAATACAATTGAACACCAGGGACAATGTGAACCAAAACATTATACAATAAAAACATAAATAAAACCCAGCATACAAAACAATACATACTAATAAGACAGAGTCTGAATTGGTAACATCAGCGGGCAGAAATGTGGCCTAAAACATTATGCAATATATATATATATATATCACCCAGAATACGAAACAATAACTATTAACAAGTGATCTAAACATGAGAAAAATACATTTCAATCTAGTTAAAAAAATTAAAAAAGACAGTCGCTTTATCGATAAAATAGTCAACAGAGTCTCAAGTGGCAACATCAGCAGGCAGCTTGTTCCCTTCAACAATGGTCCTACGGAAAAAGGAGTATTTGAATGTGTCCAATCGTACTTGATAGTCCAGTATTGAACGTGCATGAGATGATCTGGTGTTGAATCTGCCTGAGAATGCAATGTACCTGGAAGTGCCAATATTTAATTTACCGTGAATCATTAAATATAGCATCTTTAATCTATCTATCCGCGCTCTTTCGCTTAATGTTAGGGGGTTAGCTTGTTGCAGCATTTCTGAAATGGAGCTGCGCGTTTCATATTTGTTGTAAACAAACTTTATTGCTTTCCTTTGTACACCTTCTAGCTTATTAATATTAATTTTAGTGAGCGGATCCTAGACAATATTTGCGTATTCTAAGATTGGCCTTATTATCGTGTTATAGACTAAGTTTTGTGCTGGGGGAAGAGTGCTTGAAGAGACGTTTCAAGGCCCAAAGCTGCTGGGTCGCTTTTGTTGTAATGTAATCAATGTGTTTGTCCCACAATCGTTTATTACTAAAATATAACCCCAAGTACTGTATTCTTCGACACATTGAATAGGTTTACCATCAATGCAATAGGAAAACTCCAGAGGACAGTTTTTTCGCGTAATAGACATTGAAACAGTTTTTGAGGTATTCAGCTTCATTTGCCATTCCCGACACGAAGCCTCTCTAAGAAATTATTTAAAACTATTTGGTCTTGTTAGAACTTAACTTATTTTTTAAAACACAATCGTCTGCGAATAATCTTGTGCTGACATTTATGTTTTTAGTGATATCGTTAATATATAATAGGAAAAGTAAGGGCCCCAAGACAGAGCCCTGGGGCACGCCGGAGTCAACGGGAAAAGAATCAGATTCATAACCTTTAAAACAAACGTACTGTTCTCTTCCTTCAAGGTACGAGGTTAACCATTTCACTATTTTACTTGAGTTAAGTATGGTGGTATTCGGTTTTCGAAGAAGCATGTGTGAGGAACTTTATCGAAGGCTTTACTAAAATCCAGAAATAAAACATCTGCCTGACTTCTGCCTATTCATTACCTGACCAAGATCATGCGCTATTTCTATCAACTGGGTTACTGTAGACAGGCCTCTTCTAAATCCATTCTGACTTGCCGCTAAGATATCTACCTTTTCAACGTAATCGAAAATGTGCCTATAAATTATATGTTCTAACAGTTTACAACACTGACTCTTTATGGAAATGGGCCTATAGTTTGCAACATTTTTGTTTGTCGCCCTATTTAAAAACAGGTATAATTTAAGCTATTCTCCATTCTTTACGAACAGCACTCCATTCTAATGATTTTGGGAATATTAGCCATCCACTCAGAGTAACGCACCAGAAAAGCATTTGGAATTAAATCTGACCCCGTTGACGTTTTAGAATCGACGCTAAAAAGCAAATTAAGGATGCCTTCTTTATCTAAAATAAGGTGACGCAACCCTGGCGGAGTCTGATCAACAGTGTAATTTGGCAGCAGTCCATCATCGCGAGTAAAAACAGATTTAAAATGTTCATTGAAACTGATGGCTATCCTTTGTGGGCTATTCAATTATCTCATCTTCTATTTTAAATGCAATACCAGTCTCTTGTTTGGCTGATAGATATTTCCAAAACTTCGCTGGAGGCGATTTAAGGAATATTTCTAGAGTTCTATTATGGCAGCGAAACCTTGCCTCAGATAACATACGTTTTAGTTCCCGGGACAGAGTTGTTACAGCTTGTTTTCTTATCTCTGATCCAGTGGCCTTGGCCCTCTTACGAGCACGCGCAATCCTACATTTCAAATGTATTATTTCCCGATTAATCCAAGGCCGCTCGTGCTTAATAATCTTCAATTTTAATGAGACAAAATTAGTTAGACACTTCTCCACAATAGTTTTAAAATGATGCCAAAGCTCATCTATATTAGGGATGCCGCGAACCACCCTAGTTTCGAATTCGAAAGTTTCGATATTTTCGAACCGAACTAATGTTCGATTTCGACGATATTTTCGACCGTAGGAAGATTCAAATTCGAAAAATTCGCAACTTTCAAAAATCGTGGGGTTTTGAATTCGAAAAGTTCGATGTTTTCACGGTTCTAAAAGTTCGGGTTCGATTATTTCGAATATTCGTTCACTTGAGGTTCGATAAATTCGAAGATTTCGAACTTACCTAGTTTGAAATTCAAGAGATTCGAATGTTTCAAATATTTTTAAATCTAAAATTGGAAAAATCGAACGTTTCGAATTTTTGAAGACATAAATATCGATCATTTCGAAGATTTCGATTCTCTTTGAAAGCTAAATTCGAAAAAAAAAAGAAAAAAAAACTTCGAAAGTTTTCGGCATAGTTCGAAGTCCGGTTTCCATGTTCCGCAACAGTTTCAGTTTCAAATAACGTTTTCACGCCTCTTTCACAAAATCATGTTTAGAAAAGTTCGGGTGTGATATTTAGACTGCGCGCAGTTGGTCAGGCAATTAAATGAGACGACGAGTGTCCCGGATGTGCTGGAATATTTGCCAGAGCCGAGTGACGTGTGACCATAGATCAGTAATTGTGACCGCCAGTTCGGGATGATCATTAACGTGCATTACGAAGTAGTGATCCTACGAACGCACTGTTTAACGATACTCATCCAGTTCGAAATGGCCAGGGGTAGGCAGGTGGTTGAGGTGCAGAAAAACC